CCAGGTAAGAATAGTGGAGTGGATTGCCATTCCCTTCTCCAGAGGATCTTCCCAACCCAGGGATCGAACCCTGGTCTCCTGCATTGCAGGCAAACTCTTTACCATTTGAGCTACAGAGAAGACCATTCAAGAGGGTAGACAGAATTGAATCCAGCAGGGAACCATAACCTGTGCATCAGTGTCAGATGTGAGTGAAACTGCAGCATCGGACTTTACTTCCATCACCAGTCACATCCACAACTAGGCATTGTTTTCATTTTGGCTCACGCTCTTCATTCTTTCTGGAAATATTTCTCCACTCTTCTCTAATAGCATATTGGACACATATCAACTTGGGGAGCTCATCTTTCAATGTCATATCTTTTTGCCTTTTCATACTGTTCATGGGATTCTGAAAGCAAGAATGCTGAAGTGGTTTGCCACAGCCTTCTCCAGTGGACCACATTTTGTCAGAACTCGCCACTATGCCCATCCACCTTGGGTCATACACATCTTAAGCCCACACGTGGCATGGCTCATAGTTTCATTGAGTTAGATAAGGCTATGATCCGAGATCTTAATGACCCAGATAATCATGATGGTGTGGTCACTCACCTAGAGACAGACATCCTGGAGTGGGAAGTCAACTGGGTCTTAGGAAGCATTACTACGAACAAAGCTAGTGGAGGTGATGGAATTCCAGTTGAGCTATTTCAAATCGTAAAAGATGATGCTATGAAAGTGCTGCACTCAATATGCCAGCAAATTTGGAAAATTCACCAGTGGCCACAGGACTGGAAAAGGTCACTTTTCGTTCCAGTGCCAAAGAAAGGCAATGCCAAAGAATGTTCAAACTACCACACAATTGCACTCATCTCAAATGCTAGCAAAGTAATACTGAAAACTTTCCAAGTGAGGCTTCAACAGTACATGAACCATGAACTTCCAGATGTTCAAGCTGGATTTAGAAAAGGCAGACCCACCAGAGATCAAATTGCCAACATCCATTGGATCATCGAAAAAGCAAGAGAATTTCAGAAAAACATCTACTTCTGCTTCACTGACTATGCTAAAGTCTTTGACTGTGAATCACAACAAACTGTGGAAAATTCTTCAAGAGATGGGAATACCAGACCACTTTACCTGTCTCCTGAGAAATCTGTATGCAGGTCAAGAAGCAACAGACAGAACCGGACAAGGAACAACAGACTGGTTCCAAATTGGGAAAGGAGTATGTCAAGGCTGTATACTGTCACCCTGTTTATTTAACTTACATGCAGAGTACATCATGCGAAATGTCAGACTGGATGAAGCACAAGCTGGACTCAAGATTGCTGGGAGAAATATCAATAAGCTCAGATATGCAAATGATACCACTCTTATGGCAGAAAGTGAAGACGAACTGAAGAGCCTCTTGATGAAAGTGAGAGAGGAGAGTGATAAAGCTGACTTAAAAGTCAACACTCAGAAAACTAAGATCATGGCATCCAGTCCCATCACTTCATGGCAAACAGATGGGGAATCAATGGAAACAGTGAGAGATTTTATTTTTTGGACTCCAAAATCACTGCAGATGGTGACTGCAGCCATGAAATTAAAAGATGCTTGCTCCTTGGAATAAAAGCTATGACCAACCTAGACAGCATGTTAAAAAGCAGAGATATTACTTGGCAGACAAAGGTCTGTATAGTCAAAGCTATGGTTTTTCCTGCTGGACCATAAAGAAAGTCAAATACCAAAGAATTGGTGCTTTTGAACTGTGGCATTGGAGAAGACTCTTGAGAGTTCCCTGGACAGCAAAGATATCAAATCAGTCAATTCTAAAGGAATCAGCCTGAATATTCATTGCAAGGAGTGATGCGAAGGTGAAGTTCCAATTCTTTGACCACCTGATGTGAAGAACTGACTCATTAGAAAAGACCAAGATGCTGGGAAAGACTGAAGGCAGGAGAAGGGGACTACAGAGGATGAGATGGTTGGATGATCACCGTCTCAAAGGACATGAGTTTAAGCAAGCTCTGGGAGTTGGTGATGGAGAGGGAAGCCTGGTGTGGTGCAGCCCATGTGATCACAAAGAGTCAGACACAACTGAGCAACTGAAGTGAACTGAAATTAAAAAAATTTTGAGAAGCTGAAGCAGTAGCTATATTTTCCATCTACATTTTTATCCATACAATACAAAATTGATTAAAGATTTAGAAAGAAAAAAGCTTTTAAATTAGATGGGAAAAAAGCTATTCTCATTCACTTATCAGCTGTAAGATGTCCAAAATGGCACAAGGCCTTTTGGATTCAGGACACAAACAAGGGTAAATAAGATCTGATTTACTGATTGGAAAATCCTGTGGAAGCTATACATTCCTAAATAAGAAGAGGTAAAAGGAATAATAAATTTTACTTTCAGTCCTATACATTTCTTTTTTAAATGCACAGAAGAACACTATTTTAAAAGCTGAATATTTTATGTAACACAAAGAACACAGAAAAATTCTGTCCCTAGGCATGGCTAATGTTGTAATCAAGAGTTTAGTTAATAACTTTTTTTTTCTCAAAGCTGGAAACTCCCATAAAGCAACTACTGTTGGAAAATCATTTAAACTTAAAAGAAAACTGAAGATAACTTACCACTTTTTAATTTACACTTCCTCTCTTCTGGAAGAGAAAATCTTTTTTTTTTAAAAAAGGGAATCAAAACTAAAAGGGGTATTCCCTTAGGAAGACAAGAGAGTTAATGATTACATGAATAGGTCTGGTAGCTTTCTTCTGTGTGACTCACCATCCTTTTTAGAGGCTCCAGGGGAGAATCCATTTCTTTTCTCATTCAGATTGTTGGCAGATTTCCATTCCTTGCAGATGTAGGACTGAAATCCCTGTTTCCATGGCTGCCAGTTGAGAGCTATTCCCAGTTTCTAGAGGATATCGCACTCCTTGGCTAGTGGCCCCCTTCCTCCATTTCCAAAGCCAGCAACAGGAGATGGAGTCCCTCACACACTCAAGTCCCTGCTTCTTCTTTTGTTCTATCTTTCTGACTGACTGTTCTGTCTTCCTCTCTTAAGCACCCATATGATTACACTGGTTCCACTTAATGAATGTCTGTATATATTTTAAGGTCCATAACCTTAATTCCAATTGCAACTTTCCTTTTGGGAAGTAATGTAAAACATTCACAGGTTCAAAAGTTTAGAGCATGGACATTCATGGGGTGCATGGGGCATTATTCTGCTTATCATATTAGCCAAAAGGTGTGGCAGACTTGAATGCCGGGGAGAGTGCCCTGGAAAACACTGATTTTTAGATGCAGCTGGAGACAAGGTTCAAGATGGAAATTCAGTAGGAGACTAAGCAGAAGTTTCAAGAAAAGGGATTTTTTAGAGCTACTGTATGATTCAGCAATCCCACTTCTGAGCAAATATCAGGAAAAGATAAAAACTCTAACTCAAAAAGATACACACATCCCAATATTGATAACATCACTATTTACAATAACCAAGATGTGAAAGCAACATAAGTGTTCATCAACAAATGGATAAAGATGTGCAATGAAGTATTACTCAGTTATACAAATGAATGAAATAGTGCCATTTGCAACAACATGGATGACCTAGACAATATCATACTAAGTCAGTCAAAGACAAATATATATCACTTACATGTGGAATCTAAAAAATAATACAAATGAATCTATTTGTAAAACAGAAACAGACTCACAGACATAGAAAACAAACTTACAGTTAACAAAAGGAAGGAGGAGGAGAGACAAATTAGGAATATGGGATTAAGAGATATACATTACTATATATAAAATATGTAAGCAATAAGGATTTACAATGTAACACAGGGAGCAATATTCATTATTTGTAACAACTTATAGTGGAAAATAATCTGAAAATATATATACATAACTGAATCACTCTGCTGTATACCTGAAACTAACAAAATATTGTAATGCAACTATGTTGCTGTTGATTAGTCCCTAAATCATGTTGGACTCTTTTAGGACTCCATGGACTGTCGCAGGCCAGGCTCCTCTGTCTATGGGATTACCCAGGCAAGAATACTGGAGTGGGTTGCCATTTCCTTCTCCAGGAGATCTTCCTGACTCAGGGATCAAACCCACATCTCCTGCATTGGCAGGAGGATTCTTTACAACTGAGCCATACTTCAATTTAAAAAAAAAAAAGATTTTTAAGAAAGAGAAAACAGTTGACTTTCAAGGACCACAAAGAAGTCAAGTTACATAAGACATAAAGAGAATCTTTTGAACTTGGTTATATAAGAATAACCAATACCTCATGACAGCTCCACCAGAGAAAGAACTTGACATCAGTAGGTTAAAGAGAAAATGGGGAAAAGGATGGGATCCTTACTAAAAGGACGAAATGACAATGATGGTAATGGTGGTGGTGGTTAGCCCACTAGTGCTGCCGTAACAGATGGTACACACTGGGTGGCCTAAACAACAGAAATTCATTTTCTCAAAGTCCTGGAGGCTGGAAGTTCAAGATGTCAACAGGTTTTGTTTCCTTTGAGGCCTCTCTCCTTGGCTTGCAGATGGCCATTTTTTTCCTCTGCATCGGGTCTTTTTCTTTGTGCACTTGCCCCTGGTGTCTCTCTCTTTTCTTGCAAGGACACTGTTCCCATTGGATTAGGGCCTCCACCCTCATAACCTCATTTAACCTCAATTATCTCCTTAAAGGCCTGATCTCCAAATACAGTCACAATGGGGTTTAGGGCTTCAAGCTTTGATATAAATTATGAGGGGACGCAACTCAGCTTATAACTATGAAGATGACAATGATGACAATGATTGCTGCTGACATTTATGAAGTGCTAACTGTATGCCAGGTATAATACTAAACACTTCACATGCATTGTCATTTGATTCTCAAAGGAACCCTATAAGGGGCCATTATTTCTTTCATTTTATCATGTGAAAAGCCGAAGCAAAATCATACAAGGGGCAGAGCTTAAACTTGAACCTTAGTCTTTCAGCTTAAACCCATGTTTTCAAACATGATGCTATGTCTACTTTTTACATAGCTGTAATAGAAAGGAAACAAATAAGACAGCATCCAGGTAAGAATATGAAAATGAGGAAGGGTTTGGTTTTTTCCTTTGCTTTTGTCTTGTTTTTACTAGCCCAAAGCTAAGAATGGCTTGAAAAACAAGGTAATATACTAAACAGAAAAAAGTCCAGAGAAAAAGGGAGCAGCTGAAGACAGAGTCTACTGTTCCACTTTTAGCTTCTGCCCTGATCCTGATAAAAACTGAAAAATAAAACTTATATTACACAGCTAGTTAAATCATTCTACAAATAAATCTTAACTACCTATCATGTGACAGGCACTGTACAACAATCTCGTAATAGTGAGCAAAATCCAGAAATTGTCCTTGTCCTTATATACTTACATTTTAGTGGAGAAGATAGTACTAATTAAATCATCAGAAAAGGTTATATAATAATAAACTGAGATAAGTGCTATGAGTGAAAAGAACATACTCCTAAGGGAACACATAATAAAAGAAACTGTTATAGATTCTATATAGAGGATGTACTACTAAAGGCTACTCTAAAAAGAGAGCTAATACTGGGCTCAAAGCAGAAGGATGAGTAATATGTGCAATGGGGAAGGGGCCAGGTAATATTCTGGGCACATGGAAGAGCAAGGCAAAGGCCCTGAGGGATGTGTGGGAGGACTCCGGCATACTTGAGGAACTGAAAGGAGGTTAGCACGGCAGGTGCTGAACTAACAAAGGGCAGAATAGCGGAAGATGAAGCTGGGAAGGCATGCAGGGCTATAACAACAGATTTGGTCTTAATCTTAAAGGCTGCTGGAGTATTTTAAGAGTATCACAGAGACACAAGATTAGGTCTGGCTTTAAAAAGTCCCTCTGGCTCCACAAACCAGATCAGGAAGAATAGAGAACGGATGCAGGTTGATCAATTGACAGACTGCTGCAGAGTCCCACGTTTCCAGCTTGCACAGCTGGTTGTTAACTGATGGCTGACGGTGCCATACGCTCAGATTAGATGCACTGTAGAAGGAAAGATTTCAGGAGTTTTGTTTGGGATACATTTAGTTTGAGGTGCCTCTTAATTACTCAAATACAGGTGGCTGAATAGGCAGTTTATATACAGGTAAAAACTGAGAGGTCTAGATTAGAAACATAATCTGGGAACAACTGATGTATATATGCATAATTACTGAAGCATGACCATTGACTACAATGCTTAAGATACAGCTAGTGATACAGAAGATACAGGATAGAAAGTGATACAGGCTTGCCTAGGTCTTAATCTTGAAGATATACACATTTAATTAACAGGGAGAAGACGACAAGCCTGCAAAGAAGGAACAGCAAGAGAGACAGGAGGAAAATCATGAGTACCAGATCACAGAAACCAAAGGAAGACAGTATCAAGGAGGAGGGGTTCAAAAGTATGAATGCTGCTGACAGACACCAATTCACAGATTACCAGAGCAGAAAGGGAACTTAGAAATTGTCCGGTGCCCCATTATCTCCCAAATTATGGAATTAAGATTCAGATAATATGCTAGCTAACCAGTAGAATCTAGATTAAACCCTTAATTCCTAATGCATGGGCCAATACTCTTTTCATACACTTATTTGCCTGATGACTATTACTTGACGCAGCTTTTCTTTTTTAATTAAATCACCTCTACTACTTTAGTCTTTCACCAAACCTCTGGCAACTTCTGAAGCTTCTCTACATCAACAAACCATAATCCATTCTAAAAGAAGCCTTCACTAAACATTAAATTAGAACATTGATCTGGCTCTGCAACCAGAAAATAAGTCACCACCCACTCCTTTACTCCTCCCCCATTCACTCACTCCTGCCACTGCTACTAAAGCACTGACACACCAGTGTCTCAGCATAGCATCCTACACTCTTTGCATTCAAAGGAAAGACTGATTAACTGGGAAACTATTGGAAGAGAAAACTGGAACCTAACACTTTGACTATCAAGTTAGCATACTCAGTCATCCTCTCTTGTCCAGGTAAAATGAAAACTTCAGCCCCAGAGAAATGAAAGGAAGGGGAAAAAAGGAAGGTAAGGGTACAAAACAATAATAATACTGTTTTGCATATTTGCAATTTGCTAAGAAAGCTGCTAAGTGAGTAGGCCAAACAACTAACAGGGAGGGAGCACAGCTCCACCCATCAGCAGAAAATTGGATTAAATACTTACTGAGTATGGCCCTGCCCACCAAAGCCAAGACCCAGTTTTTCCCACACAGCCAGTCCCTCCCAACAGGAAGCTTGCACAAGCTTCTTATCCTCATTTATCAGAGGACAGACAGAAGAAGCAAGAACTACAGTCCCATGGCCTCCAGAACAAAAACCACAATGACAGAAAACTAACCAAAATGATACCATGGATCCCAGCTTTGTGTAACTCAATGAAACTATGAGCCATACCTTACATGCCCACGCAAGACTGACAGGTCATGCTGGAGAGTTCTGACAAGATGTAGCCTGCTGGAGAAGGAAATGGCAAACCACTTCAGTATTCTTTCCTTGAGAACCCCATGAACAGTATGAAAAGGCAAAAAGATATGACACTGGAAGATGAGCCCCCAGTACAACAGGTGTCCAATATGCTACTTGGGAAGAGCAGAGAAACAGCTCCAGAAAGAATGAAGAGGTTGAGCCAAAACAGAAACAACAGCCAGTTGTGGATATGGCTGGTAGTGAAAGTGAAGTCCGATACTGTAAAGAACACTGTATAGGAACCTGGAATGTTAGGTCCATAAATCAAGGTAAAGTGGATGAAGTCAAGCAGGAGATGGCAAGAGTGAACATCGACATCTGAGCATCAGTGAAAAGGTGAATTTAATTCAGAAGACCACTGTATCTACTACTGTGGGCAAGAATCCCTTAGAATCTAAGAAATGGAGTAGCCCTCACAGTCAACAAAAGAGTCCAAAATGCAGTACTTTGGTGCAATCTCAAAAACAACAGTATGATCTCAGTTTATTTCCAAGGCAAACCAGTCAACATCACAGTAGTCCAAGTCTATGCCGCAACCACCAAGGCTGAAGCAGCTGAAGTAGAACGGCTCTATGAAGACTCCCAACACCTTCTAGAACTAACACCAAAAAAAGATGTCCTTTTCATGATAGGGGACTGGAATGCAAAAGTAGGAAGTCAGGAGATACGTGGAGCAACAGGAAAGTTAGGACTTGGGAGTACAAAATGAAGCATGACAAAGGCTAACAGAGTTTTGCCAAAAGAACACACTGGTCATAGCAAACACCCTTTCAAACAACACATAAGACAACTCTACACATGGAAAACACCAGATGGTCAATACCAAAGTCAGACTGATTATATTCTTTGCCGCCGAAGATGGAGAAGCTCTACAGAGTCAGCAAAAACAAGACCAGGAGCTGACTATGGCTCAGATCATGAACTCCTTGTCGCAAAATTCAGACTTAAACTGAAGAAAGTAGGGAAAACCACTAGACCATTCAGGTATGACCCTAAATCAAATCCTTTATGATTATACAGTGGAAGTGACAAATAGATTCAAGAGATTAGATCTGATAGACAGAGTGCCTGAAGAACTATGGACAGAGGATTGTGACATTGTACAGCAGGTAGTAACCAAAACCATCTCCCCCCAAAAAGAAATGCAACAAGGCAAAATGGTTGTCTGAGGAGGCCTTACACAACAGCTGAGAAAAGAAGAGAAGGTAAAGACAAAGGAGAAAAGGAAAGATATACCCATTTGAATGCAGAGTTCCAAAGATTAACATGGACTTTATAAAAAAGCCTTCCTCAGTAATCAATGCAAAGAAATAGAGGAAAACAATAGAATGGGAAAGACTAGCGTTCTCTTCAAGGAAATTAGAAATACCAAGGGAATGTTTCATGCAAAGATGGGCACAATAAAGGACAGAAATGATATGGACGTAATAGAATCAGAAGATATTAACAAGAGGTAGCAAGAATACACAGAAGAACTGTACAAAAAAGGTCTTAATGACTCAGATAACCACGATGGTGTGATCACTCACCTAGAGACAGACATCTTGGAATGTGAAGTCAAGTGGGCCTTAGGAAGCCTCATTACGAACAAAGCTAATGGAGATGATGGATTTCCAGTTGAACTATTTTAAATCCTAAAAGATGATGCTGTGAAAGTGCTGCACTCAATATGCCAGCAAATTTGGAAAATTTACCAGTGGCCACAGGACTGGAAAAGGTGTTTTCATTCCAATCCCAAAGAAAGACGATGCCAAAGAATGCTCAAACTACTGTACAATTTCACATGCTAGCGATGTAATTGCTCAAAATCTTCCAGCTAGGATTCAACAGTACATGAACCAAGAACTTCCAGATGCACAAGTTTGACTTAGAAAAGGCAGAGGAACCAGAGATCAAATTGCTGACATCCGTTGGATCACAGAAAAAGTAAGACAATTCCAGAAAAACATCTACTTCGGCTTCACTGACTACACTAAAGCCTTTGACTGTGTATATCACAACAAACTGAAAAATTCTTAACAAGATGGGAATAACAGGCCACACTACCTAGTCCTGAGAAACTTGTACACAGGTCAAGAAGCAACAATCAGAACCAGACACAGAACAATGGACTGTTTCAACATTGAGAAAGGAATACATCAAAGCTGTATGTTGTCATCCTGCTTGTTTAACAGGGTGTATGTATGAACTAGTATACATGTATGAACTAGTATGAACTGAACTGTATGTATGCATATGTATGATGTATACACACATGATGCATATGCAGAGTATATCATTCAAAATGCCAGGCTGGATGACTCACAAGCTGGAATCAAGACTGCTGGGAGAAACATCAACAACCTCAGATATGCAAATGATACCACTCTAATGGCAGAAAGTGAAGAGGAACTAAAGAGCCCTTCATAAGGGCGAAAAGAGGAGATGAAAAAGCTAACTTGAAACTCAACATTAAAAAAACAAAGATCATAACACCCAGTCCCATCACTTCATGGCAAATAGATGGGGAAAAAATGGAAAGTGACACACTTTATTTTCTTGGGCTCCAAAATCACTG